GTGAGGTTGTGTTGGGGTGGGGGGGGGGGGGGGGGGGTAGTTAAGAGCTGGTGTTAGAGAACAGCTGACACGATTAATTATTCTGGTATTATTTCATTATGGTGAAGATGAGGTCTGTACTGGTTACAATCAATCATGCCAGTTTTTGGATCTGGGGAAAGCATATGAAGTTTGGGAGCTGTTGCAGAACCACTCAGGCATGCGGGCAGGAAGTTGAACAAAGCTGTCAATATCTTTTGTTACATCGTCATATTGATTGTCACTTACATTGTTGCTCTCTGTGTCTGGGCTGCGATGACCAATAATGTGTGCTAAATTTTACTATTTTAGGATAGTGACGGTAAACTGAATTGTCAGACTGGTTATGGCTGGTTTATTATCTGTATTACACTTAAAGTGACACTAAACTCAGGAGCTAAATCTTAAAAATATATTCAAGTACCTTAACTTAGAACAAAACTGGACCTTATTTGTGTATCACTCGGCTGTAGATCTGAATCGGTGCTGACACTGTCCTTCCTTCTGGACGGTGGCTACATTTGTTCCCCATGGTCCCTGTGTGCTGTAAAGTAGTCACCGCTCCAAGCTTTTTTTTTGTTTTCAGATGTCAGGTTTTTATCACTCTTTGAGTCCCTGTTAGGCAGATCCACCCCATTAATTTATTTATTGGTAAAATGAAAGAAAATTCAAAATTGTGGTTGTTATCAGAACAGGGATAGCTGAGAAATCTTCCAATGAGGACACTAGTTCTGGTAACCCAGCTGACCACCAAGGATTTCCCTCACTTTGGAGGAATTTTCTCTCACTTCCTGTTGTAGCTATTCCACAGGAAGCTAAGGAAAATCTCCCCAATGCGACACCGATGTGAAAAAAAAAGCCACCAGACCACCAAAGATTTATTTTGTGGTACCTTCGACTGGTGTTGGCAGCATTTTTCCTTTATGTGGTCCCCCACCTAGACAAGTGGGGTTGTCTGGCTCCTGCACGTGGAATTCAGTTTGGAGTGGTTCCTCCATATACCCATGTGCATCTGTTTTCTGAAGAAACCTATTGGAGGTGAAATGCGTAGAGATTAAGAGATGCCTATCTTCTACACAATTGTCCAGACACTGTATTCAACTACTTATTAGGCCTGGTTCACACGTTAGAGTAAAACACATAAGTCAATCCATTCCAATGTGAAACATTCGGACAAATATGTGCAACCCGAGAAAAGGTACCTGCATGATTTTCTGGGCAGTTGTCGTGCATTCTAACTGTGGTTGAAGCATCAGACAGGCAAAAAAAAGCATGTTAAAATGTACAAGAAAAACGTTCTGAATTGCACATGCTCAGGTGTGAATGAAGCCTTAGAACTCTAGTTGAGGACAATCATTACTCATTATGTACCGTATTTTTCCGCCTATAAGACGCCCCCATGTATAGGACGCCCCCCACTTTTCTTACCCAAAATTCAGAAATAAATATTTTCCTTGCTCTTTTGCTTTGCATAACTGATTAACATCCAGTTAAAATTTTGCAGAGTAAGACAGCCGCTTCCTGGTATTGGTATTTACTGGGATTTTTTTTGTTTTCTGACATTTTATGGGCTCAGAATGCTCCGACATTACCGCTCCCTGTTGCATCTAGGCACTGGCTACAGGCTCTACGCAGCATCAGCTGACGTCGGGTACATAAGACTCATGTTTGGAGGAAACCTGTTAGCTTGTCTCTGCAATCGGAAGTTTCACTTGTGAGGCTAGTTTGCAGAGGTATTGGCAGTTTTGCAACCGCGGTTCTCCTCTCGGCCCCCCGTGTATAAGACGCCCCTCCATTTTAGGTAAATATTTTAATGAAAAAGTATAGTCTTATACACGGAAAAATACAGTACCTTCATTGACTGGACGGTAACAGTGCGGCATCCGTCTCCAGATATTCGTGAGGAGGCCTGCTTTGATGATTTTACATATTTGTAATGCATACTGTATATATTTGGAGATTTTAAAGATGTATTGCACAAATAAATGTTTGTGTTTTATTTCCTATTCACTTGTTCACCTTGAAAGCCTTACTTTTATTGTTATAGGAATTTCTTACGGTTTGAGGGTGTACTGCACTTGGGCCCTTGGGTAACCCCCTAATTGGATCTGAAGGGTGCTTCAAAACTTGGCCGAAAGCTTTGCAGATAAAAACGTGCCGCATACATTTCTCTTTCATGTTCTAAAGTCGATTACAATGTTTTAGGGAGTTGCTTTTTGAGCTCTGTGAGCTTGGCTAGG